TCTATCTATCTATCTATCTATCTATCTATCTATCTATCTATCTATCTATCTATCTATCTATCTATCTATCTATCTATCTATCTTTAAAAACTAAGTAGTAGAAAGTAGATATTTGTGTGAAAATGTAAGAAAAAGTAAAACAAAAATCAGCTGAAAAATAATAACTCAAGTGCAGGTAACAAAATGTCTACTCAAGCACAATAATACAGTATTTGTACTTTACTTCACAACTCTGCTAGTTATTTCATATCAACATGTTGCCTAGTTGCACACGTCTGCAATGAATGACATTTCCAACAGGCAGAAGCTAACCAATGGAAAACTAAAATTTATATGCAATTATACAATATACCTAAATCTAGCCATGATAAATTGTTGAAATAGACAGCCCACTCCTTTTAATATGGTTTTGTGCCCGTACTGGAGCRGTCAATCTTCTGAAGTGTGTGTGACGCCTCTAGCCAATACACCTTATTGAGACAGACAATATTAGTTTGGTTGAAGATACTTCCTAAACAACTGGAACTGTTTCTCTCCCTTTTTACAAATTCCACTAAGTGGTTGACCATTTCAGCACACAACTAATGTTCAACAGACTGCATCAGAATGAAGTGAGACAAGTTTTGACTGTAAAAATGGCCTCAGTGTTGTTTTTGATTTGCAGCTCTACTGTTTTTGAAAAGCTCTCTTTAATCTACATAAAAAAGGATAACTAATAACTGGACTTCAATTCTGGATTCTCAATTCTCACGTGTTAACCACTCCAGCACACACAAAGTTCTTTTTTAAATTATATTTATCTATTTATTTTTTAGATTTACCAGTTCACCAAAAACTGGGTTTTTAGAAATCTTGTTTTTTTGCACCGAAAGTTTTAATTGTTTTGTTTGAATGTTAAAATGTAGTTAACACACACACACACACATATATATATATATATAGAGAGAGAGAGAGAGAGAGAGAAGTGTTCTCCAATTTTTCCCACACATGCAGTTTGTAAAACTGACAAAAAGAAATTAAGAAACATGTTCATATTTTCCAGTCTAACTTTATTTTCTAAGAAAAAAATACTCTTTTAAAACAGCCAGAGGAAAACATAACTCAGAAACATGCACTTCTGTACCGTGACAAGTTGGGTCGAGTCATAGTGATAACATTCAAGGAAACAGAGTACAAAATGGGACAAAGTCAGCAGCCTTTAATCACTCCGACCGAAAGTTGGAAGCAACCTTGTCACCAAAACATCAGAGTATGAAGGGTATCCTCTCCCAGGACTTTGAATTAGCAGAAGTCAATGTCACACAGGGTGCCGCCGCCCACAAAGACCACTAAAAGGTATTTTATATCCAATTACATTCAGAAAATCTCTCACAGTGTTTACAGCAAACAGGAGCTACTGACAGAGTCTGCATAAGAGAGAATACAATGTTCCTCAAACAGGAAGTCAGTACAATACACTACAAATTCAAACAATAACTAAACATATATATCTATATTCAGAGCAGATTTACATACTGTATACTGAATAAGTTACAAAAACAGTCTATTTCTTATCATGTGCAGAGGATCTCTGCCAAACAAATGTCTGAATCACCGAAAGACAAAAGTCTACAAATTTCTTTATTTTTTTTTATGAGGATATCAACATTTGTTATAAATTGTACGAAACAAAATTTGATTCAAGTGCTTTCTGGTTTAGGTGATAAGTGACACATGTTCAAGGCTCCTGAGTGCCCGAAGCACCAATGTAAGACCCACAATTCTCATGCTGAGTTTCGTACTTTCAGCTGCTCCATAGCAGCTGCTGACACATGCAAATGGGATTTATTGCACAGCTTGAACTGTTACATCTGAGCCTTGTTCATTAGCAGAGTCCTACATATTATTAGCTCAGAGGCTCACATGCAGAACTTTTGAAGCTGGCTTCTAAAAAAATACAAAAGAAGAAAGAATTGTTTTTTTTTCAAAACCCTAGAACAAACATAAAGGATTATTGTGGGAATCTATATAACCAAGCCTGAGAGGTCAGAGTCCAAGCCTTTGAGCGCTGTATGTTTAGCTAACAGAACATGGGTCATCTTTGCAGGGCCTGACGTCTCCTTGTAGCAGCTGGGTCATAACTCCCTTGGTCAGGTAGCTGGAGGTACCCCTTTTGCCTAAAGGTGGGGTGTTGTAGAATGCCTGCATGTCATCCTGGGACAAAAAACAGTGAGGAAAGAAGGATGAATCCAACCTAGGTATTTTTCATATCCAGTACTAAATCAGGTACATATCTGATGTTTTTCAAAGGGACTGTAGTCCGAACAGTCATTTCACATTTCATCCAACATTTACACCACAATACGGTCAAAATATATATTTTCTCCTCTTCAGCTACAGAACAAAAGTCCTGTCGCTTTTTTTAAACATTCTAGATCTGTCATGTCCTTTATGACTGAGAAATTAATAGAACATATGAGGCTAATGCTGGTATCCCAACATGTTGGACCTTAATATTAGCATGACTGGATCAATACTTGCATTTGCTTCTACTTTCAGCTATTTTAGTAGCCCAGATTGCATAACAACATCAGAATTGACCCACACATGCTAACATGCAACATCCGTTGTCTGGAAACACAGCGTGTTTACTTGTGAATTCATGTCTTCTTCGGCACATTCAGAAGTTCATTCTGAAATGTTTGCATTGAACTCCAGTGACAGTCAAATTCAAATTATAAAGACTTAACAAGATATCAGCCACACACACACAAAAATCTGATCTGAGTAAAAAATCTGAATAAAACCGCAAGACCTGTAGTAAAAATGTAGTCATATTGATGCAAACTACCAATCAATAACCTGTTCTTTAAACCATCTGTTCATTCATTTTTTAAAAGACAGTCATGTGTATGAGAAAAACCTTAGTTCACTGGCTGAGCTGAAGGGAAGATATTCTACCTGTTTTTCAATCCCTTCAAAGCGACTGCGATCTTTCTGGAAATCGTTAAAAGCTTCCTTCACCAGTCCATCCAGATCCACCTTGTCACTGAAATCCAGCTCTGGGTTTCTCTCCAGAACTATGGCCACCACCATCAGCAACTAAGGGTGTGGAAAACAGCACAGGTCAGAACACATATTATTTAGGGAGTGCAGTAAAGTCTCCACCATCATTAAAACCTGCCGCGGGTCCATTCTGAGCGCTCAGAAGATGTTTGTTTATGTTCATCACGAAGTAGAACTTTTTTCTGTGGTTTTTTATTTTTCTTTAGGTAAAGTTGACATCTCTGCGCATGTCAGTGCTTCTATCTGAATAAAAACCTGGTGCACGTAAACACTCGTCATGATCAGATTGTGCTCATGTAAATGATACATTTGGATTATTTAATCGGAATACATTTCAATCTGATCAAAGAATTTTATGCAAATAAACCTAACTAGTGTTCAAAAAAATGGGCCAACACAGAAGAGCAACATCATCAGGCCAAAACTCTGCATTTTACACTCGTCTATCTACAGGCCAGCGGTCACTCTTTCAGGGATGAATATGTTCTTATCTTGATAGAAAGGAACGTTGGTTAGAGAGAGGAGTGAAGGAACTTAGCTAAGTGAAGAGAACCCGGCCATCATTAAACAGGGATCTGTGATCAGTTGTCCCCCTCTTACAATGCTGTTATTGTGAGTATGACCCAGCCCCCTGTGAGCAATAGGTGATAATCAGGGCTCTAATGATCATTAGGTTGATTGTCCTCTTTTGGATGGGAACAACCAGTTTTGGTTGTCATAACTGGTGATAACTTTTAGAGGTATTTGAAGGTACTGCTTATAAGGCTGAGTTTACCTGTAACTCTTCAGACGGAAAAAAATCACTAGAAGAAGAGATCCAACGTTTCRAAGAAGAACCTGTTCAGAGGACCTGACAATTATTTTTAGACTAAGATAAATTCCTACATTTTGATGTATGAACCTTGTAAGATGTTAATCAACAACAAAATAAACGGTAAAGCTGCTGCCAGTGGCTTATTCAGGTCACTGTGGCAAACACACCAGTGTCTATGCCTTTATAACACTCTCATAGGAACAAAACAGACACAGACTAAAAAATAAGCCTCAAACAAGCAGTTGCTGTGTGAAAACAATAAGTTGGATTTGAAACATTCTTAAACGGTGAGTGGCAGAAGATATTGATCTTCAAATTTATTATTAATTTGTGTTATTTGTTTATAAATTTTTACAACAAAAWATAAAAAAACTGTTCACGTCTAGTGTTGAAGAGATTTTGAGCTAAAATAAAACTGAAGACTATGGAAACTTGTACATGCTTTCTGTACTTAAATAATTRGGAGAAAACCTCTAACAGTAAGAAAACCACTGCAAAGAGAGACAAAAAATGTAATTTGTAATAAATAACCTCTATAAACCATGTTAGTTATATTTCTTTACACCCTTTTCTACTTTGTTGTTCTTTAGCAATGTTTATCAACAGGTGTATTCACCTCCACAATGATTTGTCTGTACTCAGGCAGAATGATGTTCTTCAGCGTGTCCTCCACCAGCAGGGAGAAGTTCATCTCATACATAGTCATGTCAGAGAGCGTAGGTTGCTGCATCGAGCAGAGAAGGTAAACAAACATGTCAGGTGGCGAGATGGTTTTATACAGCTGTGGCCATTACAAACAGAACACTGTAGGCATTTGAAATCTATCAAGTGTTTAGGAAATTTGTGGTGGGCTGAAAAGGTCAAAGTGTTTGTCTTGTGAGGGTGGAGGGGTGGGGGGAGAACCTGTGGGAGGTGAGTCCCAGCAACCACAATTCCATTGGGAGTCCTCTCCAGGATCTGCCACACACGGTCATAAAAGCCCAGAGGGGTTCTGTTCAGAGAGCCGTCAATCTGACGTCTGTTCAGCCAAGACCTGGCAGGAAAACAAGGAAGCGTGTACTCTTTTTTTCCAACAGAGTTCTAAAAACAGATTAAAAATAATAATAATAATGACAGCTGTTGTGCTTAAGGACACGGTTTTCAGTCAGCATGTATGAAATTAGATGAGATAAAACTTCATTAATTCTCCACAGGAAATTGGGATGTGATGAGAAAAGATGATAAGATAAAAACGCTGGCAAAGAAGATACAATAATTAAACCAAAAAAGATAAAACAAGCATTATCCCTGGTATCTTCAAAGGCAGATCTGTGTATTAAAAGGAGGCCTGTGAGATGTGTGCAGGAGTGTGTGTGTGATAGGATAGTTTCAGAGTACCTGGCGGTGTGTTGCAGCTGCAGGACGTCCAGCAGGAGCTGCTTGATGTCGCTGGGAGACAGCTGGTAGATGTCCTGAGGGGGCATGTCTCCAGCTCGGATCTTCAGCTCATGTTTCATGGCCTGAACGATCCAGCTTAAGAACCACATAATACATACAGGATGTTATAGACAAAGCTAAAAGTGTTAAAAGAACTATTCCATGCTTCCTTCAATAAAACTTCATTTACAGGCAAGTGAAGAACTCTCAAAGGCTAGGCTAATGTTTTCTTACATTCAATTAACAAACATGCACACACACACACACACACAAAAAACAATTAAGATAAAGTAAGATAAGATAAGCTTTATTGATCCCACAGTGGGGAAATTTGCACAAAAAAGTGTAAATTACTGTATTTAATAAATTAAAAATGTTTTTAAGTCATTAATTATTTTGAAAATTTTGTTGCTTTGTGTAGGAAATCTGTATCCACTTTTGTTCCTTAAAATTTAGGCGACGTACAATATCTGTGAAACACACACTTTATGTCCATAAAGCTGTGCTCTATGGAGTTATGTAGTTTTTGCTTGGCTGAGAAAAAAAATGCTGATACTGATGGTCTAAAATTCCAATTCACAGCATGTCTCTGCATGATCAGTACCTAACACATACAGTATCTACACCCATTCTCATATGTGCTGGTTTTTATACTTTGCTGATAGAAACCTGAATGGTCTTTTACATCTGTAGCACAAAAAAAAAACCCTCATGCCCAATTTTGACCACAAAACTTCGGCCCATTGTCCCTCTGTCCATCTGAGATGAGTTAATGTTCAAAAACCATGTCAGCATTTTTGTAAAGAGTTCATGTGTGGGATCTTTTCAGGGTGCAGCTGTGATGAGAAACATTTTTTTTTCTAAAGTATTCCTGAGGCTAGGCTGCACTAAAGGTTTCTGTAGGAAATGCTGCCTGAGGGCTCAAAGTTGACAGATATCCACATATTTCTCTAGACTAATATTTTTTCAGTATTACTCCATGAAAATAGTAAACTAAGTTGTTTGGTGTTTCTACTTTAAACTGATCATCATTCCTCTCAAAAGAGGTGTTCTACCCAATCAATGCTTGAAAAAAAAACTACCCTTTTAAGTAATTCTTTTCATTATCTAAAACAAAGTATGTATTTTTAAAAATATGGTGTCTTTTTTACAAACTACCCTGCATGTGTAGCCTTCCTTGAATTCGAAAGTTGTTGAGTTTTTCTAAATAAATCTAAATTTGTAGTGGAGATCCTGAAAAATGTGTCTTTGTATTTGTGTTGGTTAATAAGAGGTTAAAAGGCTGTTTTAAAGTTGGATTTTGTCTTCAAATGTCTAAATAATAGTGTTTGTAAACTAAAAAAGTTTGTTGAAATTTTTGTTCAAATAATAAAAGGCTAAGGAGACTTTAAAAGGTGAATTAATGTGTGTGGTCAAAACAAACTAATAATCTGGTATTGAATATTTACAGGATATGTAAAGGTTTTACATTACATATCTTCTTGCAAATTTTACATTATTTTTTTTTTACCATCAAAAGTAAAAATATTTTTTGGAGTTATGGTCTCCATTTTATGGCAGGTCTCTCTAGTTTATAAGGCCTGCTCTGGAAACTGAGACCTACCAGTCCTCTTAGCATAAAGCCCATTGATGACAGCTGCTCATGGTCACTTCGTTTTGGTTGCCATTTTGTTTTATCTTTGGACTCCAGTAGTTTTTGCTTTTACTCACACAGCACTTTTCTACACTCACCCATGAACTGAACTAATCACACTGACTTTAACATTTCATAATGTTTTGGTTTATTTATATCGTTAAATAAATCAYTTTGCTTTGACTGAAATTCTGCAGCTCTCCCATTAATGCTGTGAATTTTGAGATGAGTTGTAACAAGTTGGGGGCTCGTCCGGGATACAAACCTAGAATTGCTCACAATTTAATGAACACAAAGGCTTAGATTAAATCTTGTAGTTTTAGAATTACATAATTGGGCAGTAATCAATTCCTGAAGTGATGAAATTAGTTTGCCACAAATACTCCAATGAACACCAGGCAAAGAGAAAACTACATTGACGTGTGCATGCTGCATGAGCTAATTCTGCTTGACAAAACACTAAAGAGCTTTTAGAGGTACCAATTCAATCATCCTGAGGCTGACATTGTCCTACCCGACTCTGATTTTGAGCATGCCGCTGAACAGCTCAGGGTTGTTGGAGATAATCCATCCGATGTGGATGACCAGCTCCTGCTGGAGGACAGCTTCCCTCTCTCCTCCATGAGGAGAGCACTTGCTGTAAATGATGCCCTGGATGACTCCTGGAGACAGGGGGTTGGAGATCACTGCCTCCTCGTGGCCAAATAGACCAAGGGTCACCTGGTGATTGTGTACGGGAGGAGGAGAAAAAACGGACACAGTTTATGTCTAGGTACACTCTGAAAGTCTTTTACAAAAGAAACGTGCAGTACTGTGCATGTCGACAGGTTGTCGTGGTGCACCATACTTCATTCAAGGCATATTTTCGACATGTGTTTTAGTTCGATAGCTTTGAAATTGGCCTCCTCTCCCAGAGTTACATAAAAGTGGAAAAGGGGGAAAAAATGACAGATCTCAACTGCACTTTTGTATTTTTGCTTTGAAGCGTCTCGTGAAAATTACACCTCAGCAATCTGATGAGAGGGCACACTTTTATCTTTGCCTTCAGCTGATGAAATCCAACTCTTAAACTTGGATGCATCGTTCATCTTTACATGTAAACTGAATTGGACTGAGTTAAAAAAGAGGCCTGAAGCTGGATATAAAGTTTTGAAATCAAGAAGGGAAGACATTGTAGGATTTCATCGACAATAAAAAAATACAAGTATATAAGAGTGGGAAATCTACTTAAATAAGATGGTGCCTCTTATTCTTTGTAAGGCACAGTTATTGTACGCACATCCATCTCCAATTTTAAATTAGTTTTTCCAATCATGTAGAGGGGAGCATTCCCTCAGGTAGGCAATCTATATGCAGATTCACACCTTCAGCTCCTTCAGCATAATGAAATGTCTAAAACTGTTCCAAAGGTTAAAAATGCAGCAAGATAACCGATACTCTCGAGAAGAGGCTAATCTCTGAATAGCACTTGACAGGAAATGATGCMCTGAAAGCCAACCAGTGTGAGGTGGTTGCATCACTCCATTCACAGGTCACCGTGCATCAGTCATGGTGTGTCCAGACAAGGTGCACATTAGGATTCTCTGATGGCCTTGCTGCAGCTTAAAACCACAAACAATCAAGGTGAGCTGTGATGAGGGACATAAGCAAGCAGCTGGTAATTCCCCAAGCAAAAGGAGCTTTTTATTACATCTATCCAGTTTCCTTTTGGTTTTCTTTTTGAATTAGTGAACATTAAAATCATAGGTCCAACAGTTGCACCCCGACATTTTGATTTTAGAGCAGGGATAGTCACTAGTCAGGCTGTTCTGCCTGTGTGTCCACTTACCTGCTTGCCTTGTACTAAAATACTAGTAATACTGGGGGCAAGGCTATCCACTAGCTTAGTTAAGAGACTGGCAGCAAGACGGACAACAGACCTAGTGGGCAAAAAGACACAAGAACATTCTTGAGAAACTTATGACAGAACAATTTTCAGCGAGGAATTTAACATGTAGCTTTCCATTGAGTTCATCTATGTGCATTTCTTCTAATATTTTTATGAAACATTATAGAGGTAAAAATATTTGCCAAGTTTTGTCCTCAAGGGACACGGCAAGCCTTTTTTTGCTATAATAAAAAAACAGTTTGGCCCAATGATAATGCATAGTTTCAGTATTTATAGCCCAAATAAATGTTTGCTTTCCCATAAATATTTTAATGTTCACACATTTCTGAGTTCGTCGTTTGAAAGATTCAGCACATGCCTGCAAACTGCTTCCTCTTGCCTGCAGGAATCCTATGAGGAAAAATCAGCACGCTGAAACCGCAGCTATCTAAACACGTAGCCAGGGCTGCTACGGACAACACACACGCATGGAGGTGAAGCAGCCCTCAGAGCAGAGGTGGATGCATGAAGTCATGTCATAAATGGGAACATATAATTAGCTGAAACACAACTGGCTCTTATTATATGCTGAGAGGAACTCATGTTACTGTGCTCTCTGGTTAAACCTGTGGAAATACAAAGAAATCTCCAGGAAATAAAAAGGCAATAGCATTTTTAAGTTCGTAAAATAATGACATGCTGTCAAAGCACTGATCCGTAGAGAAAATGGCTTTAAAATCCTACTTGCTGGCCTATGTTAAGTAAGTACGAAAATGATATGGCTGTTGTTTCTCAGCAAGAAAAATAATCTTTCTTTTATATGCTACAAGTATAGTATTATTTTCAAAACTAATATTAACAAGTAAAACAGCATACAATAAAAGCTGTCATGTCAGTCAGCGTATTCAAACCAAACTATGGGCACAAAACACTGATCACTGTGAAGAGGAACAGAAACACAGCTGTGAGTTTATCCACAATATTTTGTCAGTACTTAAATATTAGGCCAGCAGCAAAACCACAAACTAAATAGAAAGTTGTTGCTTTCTGAAACTTAGTATATTAACCATACAAAAAAAAATAAATAAAGATTTACACACATTAAATCCACATAGGCAAAACAAACTAACGGATCTGTAATACCAATCAGAATTTAAAGTAAAGGACAGTCAGCTTGTTCCAGATAGTAAAAATCATCGCCAATAATTGCTTAAGTACTGTGAGCCTTTAAATACTGAAACCCTTTTAGAAGTATTACCCTCATATTGATTTTTTGAATTTCTGTAACTTCCATCTGCTCCAGAAACAAATACAAATTATTTATCTATCGTGGCCATTTTTGATAAATGCACCAGAATTTACAGCCTAATTCTACTTAATTTGTAGTTCTCAGCCAGCCTTTGTGCCACCAGGAACAAAGCAGAAGGGAGGATCCTGCGTCTGTGTTGGTTAAAAAGGAGAGAAAGCCAATGCTGACCACAAACTCAGCTCCTGAAAACACCTGCGTCAAGGTTCCTACTAGCGTTGCCTAGCTGGCTCGTAAATATTATGACTGTGTGAGAGTTAGCCAGATTTACAGGTTGTAGGTTAGCTGAATTATTGCAGGGCAAAATGCTAGCAAAAAAATAACCTTTAACAAATGTAGACAATCTGAGAGAGACCAAAGAGAGAACTGTCAGGTTAAATATGGTCACAATGTTTAGATATACACTATATTTACTTTACTGAACAACATCAAACAGCATTTGTTTCATTTTGATGGTACTTTTATTTTACGTATATATTGTAGGGATTTAATCTTTTTTTTCCTTAAATGGCCAGAAAATAAACACCTGGCTTACTTCACTCATCACATCAAACAGTGGATTAAGTTACAAAGTGATATGTGGAGAAATAGGCAGCCATATGCCATTTTTTAAAACATTTAAATTTTGTCAAAATATAACAAATAAATGCCTTATTTATGGGCCGTTTAAATTAAATATCTGAAATATAATCTGTTTGAAGCACTTTTTTGAGCAGTAGCTACAAAAAAACGCTAGTTTGAACAGAAAAACCTTTAATTTCTGTATTTTTCCCTGTAAGCTAATAAAGCTTTTTTTCCCTCCCCAGCTGGTAAATCTTAATATTCAAATATTGTTTGAGGTTTCTTCTTTAAAAAGACATCAAAGACTCCTCGTCAGTATAACCAAAAAATAGGATTCTGACCAAATATCAATGAGCTTTCCTGATTAGAAAGATAAATCGAGACATATCTCTGAAATTGTCTATATCAAGATGATCTGGGTATCAAAAAGCCGATTAAAAAGCCAGGAACCTTAAAAAATGTGCTCAGGTCATTTTGACCAAATTTAACGTATCCTCAATTTGATGTGAAGGGTCACTAATATCACCAAAGCTTTCTTGATAATAGCTTAGTTTTATCAACTTTCTTTTACAGATTAAAAAAGAATAAAACCTTGTGGAAACCCTTTTCATGAAGAAAATTACAAAGGGACTGGTCAAACACCTCACACAGCGCTCCGGCAAGCCAGCTAGTTACAGTAGCCAGCTAACGCATGCAGGGGCGTTTCCTCCATCMCTGCTTGGACATTACCTGTTTCCCATGCACCAGAATTGTGGTGATGTGAGGAGCTATAGAGCTGGCAAACTTCTTGGTAACGGCAGCAGCACGGCGCACTGCCAGCCTGTTCACCCAGATTAAATAGCAGTTACATTTTTGGTTCCAATGTAAGTTTGTGAGGAACACAGACAAAAACAAYGTCAGGAATATAAACAGCGGGATTAAAGAAACTTCCTAAAAAGCAAAACAAGGACTCTGATAAGCTTCGATTTTCATACAATTGTTTTACGCTTTCAGCAGGCACGACTGATACCGGATGCCTTTCTAAAGGTTTTGTTTTGGAGACCTGCACATTTTGTTGTGTGTGTGTGCGTGTGTGTGTGTGTGTGTGTGTGTGTGTGTGTGTGTGTGTGTGTG